CTCACCGAGACATCATTCCCAACAAGGTCCTGAGTGCCCCGTTGAGTTGTTAAATGACGTCGATGACCCTGCTTGGGAAAATCATATATGTCCTCATCTCTGCGCTCCCGTTTTATCACAGTGACCGCAAAGGTTTGGGCCTGATTGGGCCACACCATAAATCTGGAGAGCATAGATTCAAGATAAAGTTACCTCCCCCTCTAACTTTCTCTTCCCCTTCCCCCCTCCCCATCCTCCCCATTGACGAAGTTCGGATTACCCTTCCCCTTATCTGATCAATCCTGAGGGGCATGACATCTATTGGGGAGCATTATTCCTGCACAGAGTGACTCAGAAAGATGGTGACGACACTTTTAGAAAAACGAGAAAAACGGACTAAGCTTCAAAGTGTCTGCAGGTATGTTAACTATCGACTTAATCGACGTAACCATGTCGATCTAGGGAAATTTGGTGCAGCTATTTTGGTAATTAGATGCTCTTGCTCCGCAAGGTTCCTACGCTTTCTTACGCCCTCTTCTCAATACTTCGAGTTATTCCATTTCTGGATGGGAACTACACTCAAAATGCTCTACCATGAACTAGGACCTCAAACGAGCTGAACACTTCTAACCTCAAATGAAATCAAAAAAATAGCATTATTATTGAAAATTTCCATAAAATTCCCTGAAAGAAGGTACAGAGGCGGAACCGTGGGCACCTCAATTTAGATTTATTGGAACTAGGACCCAGAATTTTTGGATAACCTTAGGGAACCCGCATTGGATCACTAACTTGGCTGTAGGTATATTCGAAGAGTCTGAGCAGTTTCCATTGAAATCACTTTCACTCACCATTTCCAAGGCATTATAGAGAAACTTTCAATGACATTCACCTTTATCCCATTGAGATCTGTTTTCAGACAGTACATAAATAAGTAAAAATTGAGTAATACTATTCAATGAGCAGCTCTTTAGCAACATATCACAAAAAGAATGACATAGAGGCACATATTCATATTCTAACCTTAAATGATTTGACATTTTCAATAATTACAGATGATAATGACCCGTTAAGAAGTATTCCGTCGAAATGTAAAGTGCTCACCGAATGGATTCATAAGCATCAAAAATGCGGTTAAAAATCACAAAAAATAGGATAGGAAATCATTAAAGCATATTAAAAGACTGGAAGTGATGTGTTGGACAATCTGGTAATCAATCAATAAGTCGTTTCCTTCTTGGAGAGCATGATCATGGCGTATTGACTGTGATATGAGATTCTTTCCTACAAGGCCATGTCTCCAAAATGACGCTTCAGGGTTTCGATTCCTTTCCTAGGCAACATCAAACCAAGGTGCTTGTCCTGGCTGGTCGTCGAGGACTGCCCGACAAGGGTACAGGTTCCAAGGGTGGTAGATCTTCCGGAGGTGGGTTATTCCTAGGTGGATGCGGAGGCTGAATGGCATCTTGCGACAAGTTACTTTCCAATGTCGACGTTTGCGATCGGATTCCATTTATCAGACAGGCAGGAAGAGGTGCAGCTCGTACTGGTTGGCTGAAAAGTTGTTGGCAAAATGAAAAAAATTGTTGAGATCATCTAATAACCAGTTTAATTTTGCCATAACTACCGTACTCATTATGAGGCGGACCCGTTGGGTGAGGTACGAATAAAATCTTGCACGTTTTCACATCAATATTTTTATTCATTTCACGTAATCCACCGGCTCCGTTCACTACCCTTAAGTTACTAAAACATATGTAAGCTTGATGGGTGGAAATGGTGTAGTGCCAATTGGCGCTGGTATCACCGGATTGAAGGTACCAGGTGCCGGCCCAGGTTATTTTTCTAGAGTCACGGGACCAGTAAGACAGTAACTAGAGAGATAAAGACACCCGTAAGTCGATAAGCCACCATGAGTAAGCATCCAAAGATCATTGTAATGCCAAGCAGAAGCCGATTGTCTGGCGATCCTTGAACGGAATTAAACGAGCGTCGGAATTTTATTTCTGTCCAGGGCATTTTTCTCTGCCTC